AACCGTGTTCGGTATTCGGCCTTCGGCCCAGTGTTTCATTTTGTTCGGCTTCGGCTTCGGCCAAGAATTTTCATTTCGGTGCATCCCTAATATTAAATATTTTAATATATAAAACATGTAGGTTTTTAATATTTTAATATAATATATGGTTAAAATATTATTGTAATTTTAATAAAATATTTATAAAATAATAACTTATTATTTACCCTAATAAATATTTTAAGATTTTTAAATAATATAATAAAATATACTCACATTAAAACAATTTAATAAATATTTTATATTTTTTAAAATTATATAATAAATTAAAAAGTCATAATTATTTCTAAGTTTTTTAAGTATTTAAAAATTGTAAAAAGTGTAGAATTATATATATATATATATATATATATATACACACACCTACATACATGCATACTTTTAAATAATTAGCAAAGTTGTAATAAATAATGCTTTTTAAATGTATTATTATTTTTACAAATATTATTTTTGATACACACTAGGGTGTGTAACAGAACTTTTGACTTTTTGATGCTGTTGAAATGTAAAGCGTCGAGAGGAAGTGAGCGCATGACATCACTGTTGGCTCGTATGACTGCTCACATTATATTCGCTCCTCTGTGTTTCTGACTCCTGCAAGCATTCGATGTCTTCTCAACGTTTTCTTTCTCTCAAATCTGCCTGTTGGCTGTTTTATCAAGCCATTCAGAATGTGTCAGCGGTTTGGATGCCGTCATTTACCTCTTTAATCACTCGAGTTTACTGCACTCATCCCTGTGTGTGTGTGTGTGTGTTCTTCCTGAAGCCAAGTAGGGCATCTCCTCTGGACTGCATTAGCGCTGCTTGAGTAGACGCCGTGGAAGTCACTGGCTGTTCCTAATCCAAAACAGTCAGCTGAAGGTTTCCGAGAGCGAGGTCGCCATGACAACAGTATGGTTGCACGCTGGGAATACTTGACCCTCGTAAGAGAGCGGAGTCTGATTCCCATCACAACTGGGTTACGCTTGCGTTTGGAGTCTGTGACGAGTGTTGCTGTTCTTCTAGTAACCTGCCACAGCTCACTTCAGATCAAATGAAATGAGGGAGATTCCATTGGAATCATTAATGCCGAAGTGAGGAAAACAGCTGGTTTGCTGATCTTAACCCACTCTTTTGATTGCTTTAGAGGGTTTGAACACTTTGTTAGCTCGGCGACCATCTAAACTTGCTTAAACTACACCAGCAATCCACCTCAGACTGGTTTGTTTATGATATTAATAGTAATAATAATATTCAGTAATAATAATAATAATTAATATTACTTCATTTTTTTGTAATTATTATTAATTATTATAAATAAACAAACTGTGCATATTGTGCTCACTTTGCGAAATACCATTTACATTTTCCCTTACAAAAAGTGTGTGTATGCAATTTCTTTTATAATAATAATATTAATAATAAAGGTATTATTATTGTTGTTGTTGTTGTTGTTATAAATAAACAAACACGGTGCATATTGTGCTCACTTTGCAAAGTACATTTTATTTTACAGATATAATACAGCAAAGCAAGCAGAATATATCTCATTTATTTGCGTAAATAGTGTTAATCCTTTTTTAGTTAAAGTTGAAAAAAAAACATAATTATTAAACAACTTCTTCTTTTTTTTAAATGTTGCTTTGGCAACTAACTGAAATAAGTTTATGTTGAGGTATTACAATTTTTAATGAGATTTAACTGAATAAAGAACTGAATTATTTAATTTCAATTAAAAAATAATAGTAATTTAAAATAAATAATTGAATAATAATGTAATAATTCTTAACCAGAATTTAGAAATATAAAAAAGTAATAAAAATACATTAATGTATTCACATATAATGTACATCACAATAACATTTAATGATTTAATCTAAAATTAAAATGAAAACTGGAATGTGAAAATAAAAGTTCATTATAACTTTAAAACTATAAAAGTGCATAAATACATTAATAATTTTATAACTAAAATAACTGCCTCAAACTAAACAAAAACCTACATAATCCTTCCATTTCCATAATGATTATTAAATCCTCATGAATAATGTCTCCGTTTGTTTAGCCTGATGAACTGACGTTTGCGTCACAGACTGAGCTCTTCTGAATGGACTCATGTATATGCAAATACCCATCAGACTTTGCTTCATCCACACCTAAAAACTAAACCTGCAGCTGCCTGATGAATGCAGAGATGAGCGTTTTATTCATGACTTCATCTGTTTACATGCCTTTGCTCGAGGTGTGAAGTTTTAGTCATAGTTTCTCGTAAACTATATGAATTTCCCATAAAGAAGCTTCTGTGGCACTTGTGTTTCTGGAGACAGTGTATGACACTAATGAAAAGTAACCGGTGTTTGATTGCGTTGCAGCTGAGTTTCCAGCACAAAGTGGGCGTCCTGTACTGTAAAGCGGGTCAGAGCACAGAGGAGGAGATGTACAATAACGAGAATGCCGGCCCGGCGCTGGACGAGTTCCTGGATCTGCTCGGTCAGAGAGTCCGGCTGAAGGGCTTCACCAAGTACCGAGCTCAGCTGGACAACAAGAGTATGTGCTGAACACACAACACAATAAACAGCATTCACTTTTCCACATTTATAAAACGTTATCTATGTACAGTATATATGCTATTTATTTATTTACGTAATTATGGTAAAAAAGTCATTAATATTATTAGAAATTGATTAATAATAATAATAATTGATAAATAAACAGTGCATATTGCTCTCAAACACTTAAAATTTTAATAGCATTTACTTTTTCACCTTTACTAAAAATATGTATATACTATTATTTATTTACGTATTAATAATAATGTTTGTTATTATTATTGTTGTTGTTATTAAAAATAAATAAACAAGAACAATGCTTATTGTGCTCAGGCACTTTTTTGTTGCTTCTGTGTATACTTGCTTTAATTTCTTATTTAATTACTTTATTATTAATAATAATAATAATACAAGTAAATCTTTTTTTTCCCCTTTTTTGAATGGTATTTGATTTTCTTTTCTCCTCAGGTTTGAACAATTTATAATTATTTCTATATATAACCATTTTATTTTATTTTTTTAAGATTTCCTGTTTTGCCTCTATCTTTTGTTTGTCAACAGTTTATAATTATTTCTAACTGTATACTGTATTCTGTACTGATGCATTAACTCAAATTCAAATGAAAACAGAAAATATAAAAAGAGAACTGATTTAAAATACTAATAAAAGCCGTAGTAGTATGTCAGTGATACTGGGGTCAGTGAAAGCGTTGTCAGGGCAGGTAAAACTCAGCGGATCTGTGTTTGGTGTATTGACTGGCTCAGCTGTGCTGTGTTTGTCCTGTTGTCCAGCGGACTCCACCGGCTCTCACTCGCTCTACACCACTTATAAAGACTATGAGCTGATGTTCCACGTGTCCACGCTCCTGCCCTACACTCCCAACAACAGACAGCAGGTACAGAGCTCAGTGTGTAGGATTTATTGTGTAATAATGATATTAACCATGATATGTTCTCTTGATCAGATAATGCCGTTGTCTGTTTGTCCCTTTTGCTGCGTTCTCGAATCATGCTCATCAGGGTTTTGATGTTAATATAGTTGATATAGTGTCGTTATGTTGGTGTAGTGATTCCCATCCCACTATATTTCAATCTGAATATGTTTTTATATTCATAAATATTTTTTCCCCTTTTTTGAACAATGTTTGATTATTTTCTCCCTCAGGTTTGAACAATTTATTTTATTTACTATACATTAGCATTTTATTTCTATTTAATTATTTCTTGTTTGCACCCCCTCCCCCAACCCCCATTCTTTTATTTTTATTTTTTGTATTTATTTTTTTAAATATGTTTTCCCCTTTTTTGGACAATATCTTTTTTATATACCCTCAGGTTTGAACCGTTAGCACTTTGTTTCTTTTAAATTATTATTTGTTTTGTCCCCATTATTTGTTTATTTTATTTTTTGTTTTATTTATTTATTTTATTTTTTTTCAAAATTGTATGAATGTGCATTTTAAAGCATTTACTTCTTTTTAGGGAAGAAAACAAAAAATATGAAAAGATAAAACTCAATGGAATTTTGACACTCGAAGACTGCAGACTTCACTTTGGTTAAAAGTGTGGATTTGATTTGAAGCTATAAGTCTAATTTGGTAAATGCATGAGCTGCATTACATGTAATGCCATTAAATATGTTTGATATGTTTTATATAAAATGATTCAGTTGCATTGACTTTGCTAAAACAGAGCCTCATCACTGCACATGACTTGACTGGTTGCTGTCACTTGGCGATTGGCAGGATTAGAGGATTTTCTGTCTTTTTCTTCTCCCACTTCAATTCTGTTCGATTGCGCAGGATTAGTGCATAAATCCCTGTCCGTAAACTTCCAGAAGACTCGGGCACAGTTCAGCCTCTCATCTTCTCATCCACCCCGTCTCACCCATAATCCTGTTTGTAACCCTTGGCCACTCACAGGAAGGCAGGCGCATGGTTAATATGACGGCTCGGGGTTAATGGAATATTATGAGTTCCTCACTCCGTTGCCTTATCAAATATCTTTGAGATATGAAGGGCTGACTGTGCTAAAAATCTCTCAGGTTTCAGATATTGTACTTATGGATGAGCTTAAGAGATTTGAAGTAGTCTTTCACAGCGTCTGCAGACATCTTTTGTGCCATTTATTGCGCTACATTAATGAGGAAAAAAAATTAACTTAAATGATTTTAGCCAATGGCTGCAATATAACAAAGAGTGAAAAATTTAAGGGGGTCTGAATACTTTCCGTACCCACTGTATATCAATAACTCTTATATTTTTAATCTGTTTCTTTTTGCTGTGAAAAAAATGTATACCCTCCTAAATGTGTTAAATCTTTTCAAACTGGTTTGATTTAGAAGACAAACATAATGGAAATAAATCCTTGCCTTTCAAAACTTGGGTCCAAAATCAGCTTTTTGCCACACCTGCTAATATTAGTTGAAAATTAAATTATAATAATTTTTTTACAGGCTGTAAAAAAGTATGTTTAGCAACACAAAATTATTAGTAGTAGTAGTAGTAGTAGTGTTAGTATTATAGTTTTTTTATTTATTTATTTTACTCTCCTTTTGCACTTGGCAAGTGTTAATTTTGCACTATTTTTAGCAACATACAAATATCATCATCATTATTAGTAGTAGTAGTAGTATTAGTAGTAATATAATAATAATAATAATAATAATAATAATAGTTTTTATTTAATTTCAAAATTTTTAGCAATAAATTGTTTTTATTTATTTTTTCACTATATTTAGTAACAAAATTATTATTATTATTTTTATTATTACTATTATTTATATTTATTAGTTTTTGTTTATAAATTATTTACCAAAAAAAAATTGCGATTTATTATTATTAGTTTAATTATTTTTTCACTATTTTAACAACATAAAATTACTACTACTACTAATTTATTTTTATTTTCACTATTTTTATCAACAAAATTATTATTATGATTTTTTTATTTATTATTTTTTATTTTATTATTAGAGTTATCATTATAGCTGTTGTTAATTTATTTTTCAATATTTTTTAACAGCATTCAATATTTTAACAACATAAAATAATATTTTATGTATATTATTATTATTTTTATTGTTCCACTCTGCAAGTGTTAATTTTGGGCCATGGTTACAAAAGAGGATTGAAAATGTCATTTTCGGTAATTTTTCATTCATCAGAGTATCCTTTAGTACATATTAGCCGAAGTGAAATGGATTATGTCATGTCCCCTTTTTTCGGGGCACTTTGAAGCTGGAGGATTTGCTACTACACATGCTAAAGATGCTGTTTGACCTGTCCTTTGAGTAAACGGCACACACTGAGTCCATTCATGTTCTTTGTCTTCTCTCACCAGTTGCTCAGAAAGAGACACATAGGAAATGACATCGTCACCATCGTGTTTCAGGAGCCCGGTGCCTTGCCTTTCACACCCAAAAACATCCGCTCCCATTTCCAGCATGTGTTTGTCATCGTTAAAGTTCACAGTCCGTGCACTGAGAACGTCTGCTACAGGTGAGTGAAGCAAACGTCTGTCTGGGAGCGATGCCTTTGATTTACACCGTAAATTATGATTATGATACACTATGATAGCTATTGAGAGAAATGAAGTGATTTAATTTACCTTTGATGTCTGTTACTGTAAAGAGAAAAATATCAATGCAGCTGAAGAACCTGCATTAAATGCTGGAGAACTCACAGGAATCAATTATGTGTCAATGCTTGGCTTGCCTGTAATTTTTAATTGCCTGTAATTTTTGATCTTCTGTTTAAAAGCAGTGCCATGTAAAAGTAAGAAATGTAAAAGTTGAAGAATAAAACTGGAATATAAACAGTAAAATATAATACAAAATTGCAATTATAATATACTAAAATATTATGCTAAAATAGAATAGTAACAAATTGATAAAAGATAAAAAGTAGAAATGAAAATTCCTAAAACTAAAATAAAAAAATTAATTAAAGCAATTATATAAATATAAAAAATAACTTTTAAAAATGACAAAAGCACAACAAAATTACTAAAATGTAAATATTAGATGAAACCTCCCCCCACCCCTAATTTTAGAAATGTAAAAATGTTGCAAAAAATTTTCAATGTTACCTTGGCAACTTACTGAAATAAGTTTAAGCTGAAGACCTAAAATGACTAACAATGAAACACAAATAAAGTAGCTAATAAAATAAATTAGCTATATATATATATATATATATATAATTATAAAAGCACATAACAAAATTACTAAAACTATATAATAGTTTATAATATAATAAAAGCTAAATATATAAATAAAAGCTTAATATATGCTATAATAGTATACAAATAATATTATAATAACACGTTTATTTCCAGTGAATAACGACTTGTATTTCACTTGTAGTTCATCACAAAAATCTATCATATGGACTATGTTTATGGTGCTTGTTTTGTTATTTTTGGAGATGCCAGTTCATGTTCACTGCTGCTTTCTTTGTGAAGATCTGTAAGAACTTTCCTCAAAATTGCTCCTTTTTTTGTTTCACGGAATTAATAAATCATGACAGATTTTTGCTATTCCTTAAAGGGTTAGTTCACCCAAAAATGAAAATTCTGTCATTAATTACTCGCCCTCATGTCGTTCCAAATCCGTAAGACCTTCGTTCGTCTTCGGAACACAATTTAAGATATTTTTGATTAAATCTGAGAGCTGTCTGACCCTCCCATTGACAGCAACACAACTGAAATGTTCCTAGCTCCAGAAACGTAGCAAGGACATCGGTAAAATAGTCCATGTGACATCAGTGGTTCAACCGTAATGTTATGAAGCTGGTTGGGTATCAAAAACCGGTTCCATTTTAGAACCGGTTCCAAATTTCCAAGAACCGGGTATTCGATAAGACGCGTGCATTTCGATTCTGCTTAACGATTCCTGCGTTCGCATTTTAATGTGATTAAAAACGATTTAAGTGCAGGAACGAAAAGAACTTGCGCCCCTGTTTGCGTGCAGCGCACACGAAGTGCAATCGCGAGAACAGAGGTGGCAGTACGGGTTCCCGGGTTGTGTCCGTTCTCGAACCGTTCCGTGTATTTCCACTGTAGAAAAGGTTGTTCTGGGCCGAAACTGACTTCTTTCATATTTGTCGACCAATATGCAGAAAACTACGTCAGTATATCATCATAAACACAGCCGTTTTTGTCTTATGTGAACGTAAACAGATGAGAAAGAAAACACACATGTACAGTATTTTTAGATCTGCGTGCGTTCGGTGTTAAAGAGACAGCAGCCTAATAAACGCGCTGCCTGTCATTAATGTTAATCAAAGAACAAAAGAAAATCATTCACTGATCTTGACTGAATATTTTTAATAACTTTAATTGATTAATCTATAATTTATTTGTGAAATGAAAACTATGCAGTGTTTTTAAACTTTTAATTACAGTTTCTATACCTGGAATTTTGTTCAGTTGTATTTATTTATGATATTGCTAATCGATTTGTTTGTTCCTATCTTATTACTGACTGTTTACTTGTCTTTAACACTTTAATATTTGAAATGTATCTAGTTGTTTTTGCTGTGGTATTTTTTTTAAAGCATAGGCAAAATTCCTCTTGCAGTGTTCTGTAGGCTGCTGATTGTTGCTCGTGTTATTCAGCTGCAACAGAATGCTTTGTAAAAAGATGTTTGACATCTAAAAAAAATGTTTGACTTAATTTTTTTTATATTGGATTTTTTTATCTTATTGTAATCGAAACTAGGAATCGATAAGAATCGGAATCGATAAGCAGAATCGGAATCGATAAAATTAAAACGATACCCAACCCTAATCACGACGCATGCTCTTGCTTCCACTTCATGTAAACAACGCATATTCCAGTTCCGTTGCTGCTGTGACAATATGCCCCTAAGAACTGGGACACCACTACTATACCGTCACATAATACAAACACTAGTGTTCGACCGATATATCGGCCGATATTGGGCATTTTTCAAATATCAGCATCAGCCGATAAGTTTTTCTGTTTGGCCGATGTGTTCGAGGCGGGACTTTTATTTTGATGGTGCTGAGATTGCAGCGCCTGAACACACAGTGCTCACATTCTCTCTCTTGTTCGCTATCGTCGTTCATTTCTATCTAATAATCAGATAGAACTGTTAAACAAATTAATTGAAATGTATACAAAAAAGTATTATAACGATTGCTTTAATATTATTAGTAATAGAAATGCAAACATTATAATACTTTCTCGTTTGCCGTCAGCATTCAGCAAATACGCATTAATATCATTTAAACAAATCTTTGAATGACTAATGAACATTTAATTTCACAAACCTTGCAAACTTAGTCGAATCTAGATGAGATCTTGTGAAGTGTGCATTTGTATCCTGCATGATCGCGTGTTGTCTGGGTGACGGTCGGTCCATGCAAATTGAATGCGGACAGGAGGAGAGTTCAGCTTGACTGGAGATCGACAAACTAATAGGACCGTGTGATATTTCAGTTTTTCTTTTTTAATAAATCTGCAAAAATGTCAACAATTCTGTGTTTTTCTGTCAATATGGGGTGCTGTGTGTACATTAATGAGGAAAAAAAATTAACTTAAATGATTTTAGCAAATGGCTGCAATATAACAAAGAGTGAAAAATTTAAGGGGGTCTGAATACTTTCCGTACCCACTGTATATATATATATCTCGTCATCTGCTGTCAAAAAACCCATATCGGTCGACCACTAACAAACACCTATACTGGTGTGCATTAGAGCCTTACCGTTCTATATAAATGCGCCGTTTACTGACACACACGCACACACACATAGATCAGAGGTCGCGCAGCTCCACATCCAGGAGCAAAGAAACTTGTCAACGCTGCCCCGTGACTTTTATTAATAACAGTTTAAATAGTGAATCTCTACATTATATTTTCCAGCAACGAGATGATAAAATGGCTGTTTTTGAAGTAAACTCACTCATTGTACAGAGAGACGCATAGAGACGTGTACACGCAACTTTAATCTCTCCCTCTCTCTCTCTCTCTCTCTCTCTCTCTCGAATTGGCAATATTTGAGAAAAAGGTTTAGCGATTTCTAATTATTTGGGGGGACTAGCCCCCCTCAATGTCTACGGTGGTTATCGTCATGATCAGACATGAAAATATGTTGTGGCACTATCGTGCAATCACTAATGATTTAACGTTAGCAAACTTTAGCAATTTTTTTGCAAACATATTTGAATAGCATGACCGTAAATATGAATGCACGATTGAATTTAACACAAAACAAATGGTTACTTTTCATTAAAATCTTTATTAATGCAAAAAGTGCTTACGTTTATGTGTCTTTTTGTTCGCTCATGCAGCCATGTTGCCGCTCTAGCCAGTGTTCTGTCGATTTGTGCTACCCTGTCAAATTTTGCTACCTCCCATTAAAACAGTGGGTAGTACAATTCGACAACGAAAAATGCTACCTGTAAAATTGTTTTTTTAACGTCTACACCACAACTCTAAACCTACCCTTACAGTAATGCAAATACAGTAATTGTGTTATATCGCTGTTGTGGCTAGAAGGGCTTTTCTACTGCAGATGCAGTATGCAGATGCATTAAATATTGTTATTCAGCATGAGAAAAAATATTGATGTGCGCATGCGCAATAAACCCTGGTAGGACAATCTGACGGGTAGGATAAAATGTCAGGACACCGGTTTATGCTGATAATTCAAAACAAGGGGTTTGAAGTGTGGTCCCGAAAAATTTTCGTTTGAAGGGCTATCTGGCCCCTTCCCCTTCCCCCTACGCCTCCAACCAAAAGAGAATCGAGACACCCCTACCCCTTCACGTGAACGCATGAAACGAGGGGTAGGGATAACGGGTAGAAATGAGATTGGGCCTAAGTGTTTTCAGATCTGTGAAGTGCATCTCATATTGCATTGCATTAGTTACACCAGACAATCTCTCTCGTTGTCGTCTTCGCAGTGTTGCGGTATCCAGATCCAAAGACGTGCCTCCGTTCGGCCCTCCCATTCCTAAAGGAGTGACCTTTCCCAAGTCGGCCGTCTTCAGGGACTTCCTGCTGGCCAAGGTGATCAACGGGGAAAACGCGGCGCACAAATCGGAGAAGTTCCATGCCATGGCGACCCGCACGCGGCAGGAGTACCTCAAGGACCTTGCAGAGAACTTTGTGAGCACGACGACGGTGGACACGGCGGTGAAGTTCAGCTTCATCACGCTGGGGGCCAAGAAGAAGGAGCGGGTGAAGCCGCGGAAGGACGCCCATCTCCAGAGCGTGGGCGCCGTCACGTGGAGCGTGGTGGCACGGGATTTCGGCCAATCTGCAGACTTGGAGTGCCTGCTGGGGATTTCCAACGAGTTCATCATGCTGATCGAGGAGGCGTCCAAGAACGTGATTTTTAACTGCTCCTGTCGGGACGTCATCGGCTGGTCGTCTGGCGTCATGAGCATCAAGATCTTCTACGAACGAGGGGAGTGCGTGATGTTTTCCGCACATGACAACTGTGGAGAAGACATTCGAGAGATCGTGCAAAGACTTGAGGTAAGAGCGTTTATCAAGAGTGCATAGAAAAGGTTCTATATTTTGTCCTACAAATGACATTTAGAATGTGTGTAAGTACAAACAAATCCATATTTATCAAACGTGTGCACGCAGTTCTTACGCACACCAGTAAGTAATCATTGTTGATAAATTTCACATGTTTTTAAGCACCATGCTCGTACATGTTCATGGTCATTTGCATTCAGAAACCTCCAATGAACCATATATGGTGACAACACCTCCCTTTATTATCACGTGAATGTATACGTCCTAACCAAAGTCATGGAAAAGAAAGTAGTACCGACTGAGTAGCCATTCTGTGCTCTCACTAAACAGATCAGCGCGCTCTTTGAAAAACCCGTTCTCTGTGCAGCATAGGGCTGTGCGATATGACGATATATATCGGATGGATGAAATAAAAAGTCTATCGTTTCATATTATGCCCTATCGTTTATTTCGTGGTGTCGCAAAACAACCGATTTTAAGCCGATTTTAAACACAAACAACAGAGCTATATGCGTGCGCCGTCTCTGTTTCTGTGTGAGAAGAGCGCACATTTTTTGCCGCTTTATTGGCTTTTAACGATTACATGAATACACTTATATGCGTCAGAATCCCAGTCTTTGCAAGTATCCTCATAAACACAGTGATTTAGGTCTTAAGAGAGAGTAAACAGCTGAAAAAGAAAACGCATATGTAACAGTATATTGGATCTGGACTTTGGTCTTAAAGGGGAAGCTGTCCAATATTCGTCCTGTCTGCCATTCATATTAATCAAACAACCTCACTGCTCTTGACTAAATCACTTTTGTAGATTTAATAATGATAATTTATATATATATATAGATATATGTGTGTGTGTGTGTGTGTGTGTGTCTGTATAGAATCTATACATAATACATGTGTTACTGTTAATTATATCTATCTGTAGATAGATAGATATAACAGTGAAGACTAATTCATTTACACAATGTATGTAGCGTTTCGTATTTATTGTAGTTTTTTGTCCTATTGCTTGCAATTAGTTTCTTAACCTTATTTCATCACTGACTGTTTATTTATCTTCAGTGAGCTTGAAGGTTTTTTTTTTTTTTTTTGTCTCTTTTTAGGCTTGTATTAGTTTGATATTGACATTGGTGACAAGGATTATGAAAATTCTATGGTATCAAAGATTTTAATATCATAAAAACCTTTTTTTTTTTTTTATAACTCTATCATGATATATATCGTTATCGTTATATATAATTACTCATATCGTGATATAAGATTTTGGTCATATCGCCCACACCTAGCGAAGCGTATGGCTTTCGTTTGCCAAATCTTTCAGCAAAGCGAGATCAGCCATGACCATATAGCTACATTTCAAATCGACTTCCCAACTGTCCTTTATAGCTTTTTACACTAATTGTGCAAATGTTTAGCTTGAAATATGAAATTATTAATTGAGCATTTGCACTTAAAGGACATGGGGAAACACACGGCAGCACTTTCTTTTTGTAGTATCGCCATTCTACCACTAGATTCTCTTTGTAAGCATATTTACACACATTCCTACGTACAAGTACAAGTTGGAAGATTCCACATTTTGCGTGAAACTGTTCTTACGCATTCATTACACACACATCTGTGCGTACGCACTGTTGATAAATGAGGGCCCAGGTCTTTTTTTAAAGATTTATTTTTGGCATTTTTGCCTTTTATTATGATAGGACAGATCAGAGCTGACAGGAAGCGAAGTGGAAGAGAGAGATGGGGGCGGGATCGGGAAAGGTCCTCGAGTCTGGATTCGAACTCGGGACGGCCATAGCGCAACGGGGCTGTATGTAGGCGTGCTGCCAACAAGGTTATCAGCACCGACAAGCATTCCTGGATATAATGTTTTGGGGGAAAAACTGTGAATTCACAACTAAATATTGCATTTTTATTTTTTGTCAAATAAGGTGCTGCATGCTTAAAGGCAGAGTAGGTTTGGTTCAGAAACATTTTTTGTTATCCTGGTTGAAAATCTCTTCACATCCTGATAGCAATCACTAAAGCTGGCCACACACTAGACGATTTTCAAATCTTAACCAATTTTAAAACCATGTGAGACCACAGACATGAAGACGGTTTCAACCGGGTTTTAGCCTTATAATCTTCTGAATGCGCACACTAGACGATTCGACCAGACCGCGAGACCACACACTTGTCGACTGTAGGGACGTTTTCACAGTGACACGAGATCTCACAGAGACTCGTGAGATCAAACGCGACTAGAGAAGAAAAACAAATGGAAGACAATCGACGTTGTCAGCTGGCTCTCCCAGCACACGTTCTGTTTCACGGTGAAAAACAAAGTATATCAAAGAATATGGGTGATGTATTCTGCTTTCGTGGCATGTTTGTGGCTGCCAAGTTTTAGCTATAGAAGCATGCAACATCTGGTAGTTGATGCTTGCTCACTCTCATTGGCCATCGCGGGTATAACGTCAGAGGCAGCCAGATCAAGAGTCGTAAATATCAAACATGTTTTAAATATCCCGACATGTGCAGCCCTACACCACGCGCACCATGTCTTTAAAATTCCCACACATTGTTTTCCCGACTCCGGGCGCTGTTCATAATCCTGCCGCGCCACAGAGCGCCTCAGCGCCACTCACATCATTTTCCATTAAATTACATTATATTTGTCCCAAATTATTGTTAATGTACATAATGACTTCATCCTAGGTTGGAAGATTGTGTATTGTGCATTTTTTAGCAAAACGTTTGTCTTTCTGTGGCTCTAATAAATTTGGTGATTCATTGTGCTATAGATCGCAATTTCTCATCCCGTTTGCTGACGCGACGCGTTCAGTGTGTGATACGTGTTGCACCGGGGCACCACTGTGCTTCTCGTCCGATGTGCGACTGCAACAAAACAGCACAGCGAGAGTGACTGATATTACCAAAATAAAACAGCTAAATTTAAGTCAAATGCAAATACACTCCCTCCCATCACACGAAACCAACAAATGTAATGTGTTTAAGACAGCACATCATGACAGCGCTGACACAAAACAAATTAGCGACAGACACTTCATGACAAACAAGCAGTGTTTATAATAAATAATATTATTATTGGCTCAGCGGCCTAGTAAATGTCCTCACTTACGTTATTCGCGGCTTCCATCGTGACGTGAATAATAGCTAGTTAGTTTATTAGCATATTTTTTTTTTTTCTCCGAGAGATCCCCACAGCGGGCGGAACTTGTCATAAAGTTAGTGATAACAAGGGGAAAGAATCTTATAAATCTTTCCATTTAGAGGAAAGATATGATTGGTCAATTTTTCTGTCATTCGAAATTACTCCCCCATTGATTTACTATTGCTTGGCCCTCTGTAATTTCATAGCTGGACCACGAATCACAGAGCCGCAAACGCTAGGCGGAAACATTCAAATATGGAGAAAATGGGCGGTGTTAATAAGTCCATTCACTGAATACGCAGATTTGAAGAGGTTTTTTTTTTTTTTTCACAGAAGTTGTATTTATTTTATTTAGATGATGTTTGTCAAATTATGAATTGCTTAAATAAAATTAGTTATAATTATTTTTTTTATTAAAAATATTATATTTTAAAACATTTATTTAAAAATTGTAAATATTGTTTTTACAATAAGTTAGGCCCTCTCTGAGGGCCTAGAGGGCCCTGATGGTTCCCCACTGAATAAACGCAATGACACCACACAATAGAGGATTTTCTGGACAAAAAAAATCGCTTGCGACAAGCCGCGAATCAGGCTACACCCCCCAGGCTTAAATCAAATCAGGCTTAAAATCCTCTAGTGTATGGCCAGCTTAAGTTAAGTGGTCTGAATGTATTTATTTGTATTTAAATCGTCTGTGGAAGGCATAGGATCATAAAATGTTTGTCCAATCATATTCCTCCATCCGCTTTTTCTTTCAAAGCTAGCTTGCCATAGATGGAGCGTGTGTAAGACTGGGCAAAGCTTAGCCTTCCCCTGGCCACGGATCTGAAATTAACATGGGCTTGGGGCAAAAATGCCACCAAATTGGACAAAGATGCCCCTGTACAATTAAACTAAAGGATTAAGGATGTCATGAATAAAGTGAAAATGAAATGAAAAGTGTCAATTGCGGCATTAAATTAAGATCTGCTGATGATGCATCAAATTATCATCGTTTTTCCAGCGTTCCGCATTATATCCAATCACACACGATTCTGTTGAGCTTATGAATGCAGTGGCCAATCAAAGGCATTCAGATGAGTCATCGCTGAAACGCAGACTCGCGCAAATTCTCTCATCATAAACAACAAAGTGGAAATGTACGTATGATGTAAGTAAGAGATTCATTTGACATTGTAGGCAGCTTTATTGATTATAACGGGGGAGTTTTTTTAAACTCACGCTAGACTGAAGTCAGTCATCATGTTCTTTGATAATGTAGGCCTAAGTGTTCTTTGCTTGCTTTTTAATTGAATGCGTTATAATTAAGCATTATAATTAGTAACTTGCAATGTTTTTATTAAATTGTGATCACGTTATATACAAATTCAGTGATATTAAAAATATTTTGTGACATGACACCATATCTGCTACTTAAGCCTTTTTCTGCCATTGAATTAAAAAAAAGGTAATTGGACAGAATTAGTCAGGATTAGCTACGAGATTTTGCGAGAGAGTACAAATTGTGAGATAAAAAGTCGCAATTACCTTGTTTTATTTTTATTTAGTGGGTCCATATGTGCTTGCCTAACAGAAGGGGTTATGATGTGTGTGTTAATAGGATTACACTAACATTAGGCAAATTTTAAACATTATACTTCGATATTATAAAATTATCTAGAAAAAAGCTGCTGTTTGTACAGCAGTTATTTAGGGTTGGTTCATTTGCCAACCAGCAGAATAATTATTATTGCCATAGTATATTTCATTCGTGGTGTTTTGTAACATTGAATCGGAATTAGCATGTTTTGAGTTTTGATTAAGAGGAAAAACTGACCCAAAAGCAAAAAAA